GATTTCAGTCAAGACAGGGTGATAGCCCTGTTATTTTCAGCCCTGGTTCGGACACGCCCTTAGGACCAGAGCTGATATTTGTACACGCCCGTTCATTGGGACTCGGGGAGCGGGTGGAGTGGGGTGGGGTGGTTGGGGAATCGGTCCGGTCGGGAGGCATTGGAGCGAGGGTGTGGCTCTACCACGTGTCAAATGCGCGTGTCAGGCCACCTGACATGGGTCTGTAAAGACTGCTCGGGGAACATCACCCCCAGCTCACACACATCATTGGTGAGTTTCCAAGGCGTGGGGTGGACTTCGAGTCGAGCCCACCAAGTTGCGCCCAACAAGACTAGATACCTCCACCTCAAGGCCTTTCGGAGGCCTTCTAGTGCGACACGCTGGGAGAACTTCGCGAACCGGACCGATCTCTTCACCTCCTTTTGAAAGGGTAGCTCGTCGCCTGCATTCGTACTGCTAATAGTAACGTGGCTGCGTTGCGGGATGATGCACCGGCGCGCGTCGGAATGGAAACAGATGAGACTTTTGACACAGCAGCGGCAGACGGAGGCTGGAGACACGAACAACGGGCCGCAGCAGGCGCCGGTGAGCTCTCCCCCCGGAGCTAGCGCAATGGCGGGAGTCGGAACCCGCCCAGCCAGCATCTTTTGTTCCGCCGGACAGAGGCGGGAGACACGAACAACAGGCGCCGGCGGGCGGTGAACCTCTCCCCCGGAGCTAGCGCAATGGCGGGAGCAAAAGGAATCGCTCCAATGGATTGGCCCGTCAGCGCAGCCGGCGTCAGCATGGCTCGCGCGCACGTGGACACAACCGCAACAGCCGCAACAGCCGCAACAGCCGTCGTTGGTGCGGCAGCAGCAGCAGCCAATGCCGCCGCCGCAGCAGGACCACGAGCCGCCAAGACAGGATCTGTCGAAACGAGCCGGACTTCCACAACAATTACCGCGCGCCGATTCGTTGCGCCAGCAGCCGCAGCTGCCGGAGCTGTCTTGGGGAGAGGGAGACAGCGGCGGGCGCGCGGTTCGTTTCGGCGATCCCGGGTCGCTGGGCTTCCGCGTGATGTTTCTCGATCGCCGCGATCGCATCGTTTCGCCGTGGCACAACATCCCGCTGTACGGCGAGAACAGCTGGCTCAACTGCGTTTGCACCACGCCCTCGGGAAGTTGGGTAAAACACGACTTTGCCCCGAGGAATACACCCCGCTGCGCGTCCCTCCGAAGGGCGGCGACCCGTCGCACTTCCGCGACAACGCCACGTGGAACCTCGGCCTCCTGCCGCAGACGTGGCAAGATCCGGAGGAGCCCGTCGAGGGATTCGCGGGAATGACTGGCTGCGGCGGGCCCGTGGAGGTGATAGACGTTTCGGGCGGGCTGCCCGCGGAATTAGGGCAGGTGTACACGATTAAGCCGCTGGGGGTGATTCCGGTTGTGCGGGAGGGTGGGTTGGCGTGGGTGGTGGTGGGAATTGGCACGGGGGATTTGTTGGCGAGCCTGGTGAACCACGTGGATGACGTGTACGCGCTGCTGCCGGGGACCATGGAGGCCGTCATGCATTGGCTCGCCATCTGCGACGCCACTGAACCCGGTGAGTGAAGCTGCTTGCGAGATGACTTTTGAGTCGACTCAAAAGTCATCGCGATTAGTAGTCAGCTTGCGTCGTCAGCTTCCTCCGATCGCCGCTAGACTTTAGTTTTGGGTTCATGTCGCATTGTCTGAGAGGAAACGCCATGGCTGGCCGCCTTTGCATACCGCAGTCTATCCCCCGTCTCCCCGGTGTCAGAGAATCGCCAGGCGCTGATAGGGAGTGCTCACAGCCACGGCACGTACAGGGCCCTGGAGGTGGTGGCTCAGGCGCATGCCTCCCACTTTCCAGTCTCACGTGGCGGTTTCTGATCCCCGGTCCTCACTGCTTCCCATCCATGCTTCCCATCCATGCTTCCCCTCTTCAGGCGATCGCCAGGCGTTGATAGCCACTGACGACAGCTTTGGCACGGAGAAGGCTCTGGAGGTGGTGGCTGAGGCGCACGCGGCGTGGCAGCTGTTCCTCCACAGCAATGTTCAGCCGGAGCCCTGGCGGCCGGACCTAGACGTCTTCTCCACCCACGTGCTGCAGGCCTGCTGGCGCAAATACACGGACGGCCAGAGCACCGTGGCTCTCCCTGTGTCGTGTGAGCGGCGGGAGGAGCGCCTTACTGGAGATGCTGATAGCGCGGATAAGAGTTTGGAGGGTGGTTTGATGGGGTTGGATTCGGTTAGTGGAGGTATGGGGGGTGAGGGGGGAGTCAGAGCTGGGTGGAGAGCCCTGCGGGTGTGGAGAAGGGTGTGGCAGCAGCAGCAGGGTCTAGGCGGGGTTCTGAGAAGGTGCCAAGGAGCAAAGGCGGAAGGCTGGGTAGAACATCACCGTCGGCCGTAGCACCTGCTGCTGTTGCTGCTGCTCCCTCTGCTGCAGGAGCATCTGAAACCGCAGCAGCAGCGGCGGCGTCTACAGCAACAGACGCATGTGCCACCACCACTGCCAAGGGCTCGAACAAAATGAGCTTCTTTAGATCCCGCCTCCCCAGCCTACCGCCTCCCCCGCCGCCATCCCACTTCGAAGACGTCCTCTCAGCATCAGCGTCAGCGTCAGCCGCATTTGCAGCGAGACACCCCAGCAGCCTGGAAGGAGGCGGCGGGGGGCACGGGAACAAGTTCCGAGCCTGGAGCCCTCTAGGTTTGGTCCGATCCAAGTCCCCTGGCAGCCAGAGCAAGGCGTCAGGAATGACCAGCCCGATTTTCGGAGGTCTGGGGAGACACAGTGCAGGCAGTCAGTCGCCTGTGGGTGGTAGACCACCCAGCAGCCCGTCTCCCGGGGGGTTGTAGACCACCAAGCAGCCCATCTCCCGCGGGTGTAGACCACCCAGGCAAGCCCAACTCCCGCGGGTGGTAGACCACCGCTCAGCAGCAGCAGCAGCGCGTCGCCAGGGGGACAGAGGGGGCGGCCCACTAGGTCTCCCAGGGGAGAGGGTTCCGCCCATGTCTCCCAGGGGAGGTTCTGCTGGCGCTGCAGTGTCAGCTGCTGGGGACGGGGTGTGGGTAAGCGGTAGTGCGGTTGGCTGTGGTGCTGCTGTGGCTGGTGGTGCTTCTGGTGCAGCTGATTTTGAGGCTGCTAGGGTAGATGGTGATGGTGCCACTTCAGCAGTTGCTGCCACTGCTGCTACCGCTGCTGCTGCTGCTGCTGCTGAATCCGGGTCTGCTTCTGGAAGTGGTGGCAGCAGTGGTAGGAGCCGGTCCCTGCATCGCATGGTGTCTCCCCGAGGGCTGCGCCTGCCTGAGCTGCCCAAGAAAGGGCTTCACTTGTCAGAAATGGCCAAGACAGGCCTGCACCTGCCTGCCGTGTCCCCCGCGCGCTGCACCTGCCAGAGGTAGTGAAGAGAGTTATGGCGGATTGACTAGCCGGACTGCAAGCGAGGAGCAGAGCGAAGGCAGTAACCAAGGTGGGGACACAGTCTCGGACACAAACAGAGGCAAAAACCGTGAGGAGGGAGGTCTGTTGGTAGCCCAGTCTAGGGAGGCAGATGCTGGGAGAGCTTGAATGCTGGTGAGCTTGAGAGGTTAGTCGTGGGGCTGGTAGAGGGGGACGATCCGTACTGTGCACGGTCCAGAGAGGGGAGGTGCTGGGAACAGGAATCTTGGTGAGGCTGAGAGGCTGCGTCGGCACCGCAGTGAGAACCAGTCTGCTTTTGAGAAACTGTCCAGATATGGCCCGGGCAGGGGGAGGTCCCGAGGTTGAGATGCTGCTGGTGGGGCTGCTAGAGGGGGAGATCCGCACACAGCACAGTGCAGAGAGGGGGGTGCTGAGTTGAGAGAGGGGGTTGCAGGCAACAGCTTGAATGCTGGTGAGGGTGAGAGGCTGCTGGTGGGGCTGGTAGAGGGCGGGGATCCACACACTGCGCAGTGCAGAGGGGGGGGTGCTGGGATCCTGTATCCTGGTGAGGGTGGGAGGTTGCCTCGGCACCGCAGTGATAATCTGTCGGGGCATTACTCAGCGTACTCGCACGCGCTGCTGACTCCACTGAAGGGCGGCGGTGGAGGAACAGGCGGATTGGGCGCAGCAGAGAGAGCAGGAGCTGCAGAAGGAAGAGCAGTAGCAGAGGGAGCAGGCTCAGCAGCGGAAGCAGCTGCAGCAGAAGACTTTGTGCCGATGCCGGTAGCACAAGGGCCAGGAGCAGGAGCAGCCCGTAGCAGCAGTAGAGTCCGGCCACTGTAATGTGGCATTTGAGGGCGCAATTATGGGGGGCGCAATAAAGGGGAATCTGCCCCAGGAAGGAGGGCAGCGTGGTTATAAATCCGAGGTTCCTCATTCTGTGACTGCACACCTGGCATTTTCGGTACACGGGAAAGCCTCTCCTAAGGAAAAACACGCCGGTCCTTGTAGATAAGCAGGCCTTTCCTGCTGCTGTGGACCACAGGCAGGCCAGAGGCAGAGATGGATGCAGCAACAATATCAGCAGCATCATCACGAGCAGCCGAATCACAAGCAGCAGCAGCAGCAGGGCGACTGTAGAGCTCCTTCAAACAGCACTGGCCGGCATCTTTCGGCGCACTGTCTCCGCCCCGCGTTCCTCCCACCGTCCATCCCAGGCCTCCACCACTCCCCTCCCTGCTCCCCGCCCCGCTCCTCGTTCCCCACCCGCCTTGCCCAACGACCCTCAACCCTCCCAATCGTGTGCCCCTGCCCATCGCCGCTCCTTCTCTTTCTCCGGATCAGACAGTTTTGACCTAAGTGACTTGAGCGCTGACCTAGCTGGCTTGAGCATGGAGGTAGCTGACTCCAAGTTGGAGAATGCTGACTCAAACTTGGAGAGTTCTGGCTCGAATTTTGAAGTCTCCGGCTCTGCCACTCATGCTGACCCTGCTTTGCACTCTCGAGCCGTTTTTCCTGCATCCAACGCGGGAGGCCTGCCGACGCAGATGCTGCAAGCACTAACCTACCAGCAGCGTCAGCAGCTGCAGCAGCAGTTTCAGCAGTATCAGCAGCAGCAGCAGCTGCAGCAGCAGCTGCAGCAGTATCAGCAGCAGCAGCAGCAGTTTCAGCAGTATCAGCAGCAGCAGTTTCAGCAGTATCAGCAGCAGCAGCAGCAGCAGCAGCTGCAGAGTTGGATGTACGAGCCGCATCATTTACCATATAGACTGCAGCAGCGGCAGCAGCAGCAGCAGCATCACCAGCATCAGCTCCAGCAGCAGCAGCAGCAGCAGCAGCAGCAGCGGTGCCTAGATTTCACCCAACCTCTTAGCCTGCCTCTGCCAGAGCGCCAGGGAGGCGGATGGGGCAGCGAGGGAAGGGAGGGAGGCAGACCAGCAGCTTTGGAACGCCTTGGTGGTTTTGATGGCGAGTGTAGGCCGGATTTTCGTGGTGGTGGTGACAGGTGCAGTGGCAGCAGCAGCAGCAGCAGCGGCGGCGGTGGAGGCGGCAGTGGTGGCAGACGCAAAGGGGATGAGCGGGTGGGAGGGTGTAGTTTGGTCGGTGGCGAGGCCTGGATTGCCCAGCAGCTTGTGAGAGGGGGAAGCAGTAACTTTGAGGCTGCAAGAAGCACGAGTGAGGAGGAGAGGGAGGAGGATTTGAGGGAGTTGGATGTGGGTAACCTGGTGATGAGGCGGAGTAGCAGCGAGGGGCGAGGAGATGCAGTGGGGGAGCCGCAGGGGTTGAGGGGTCTGATGAAACGGCAAGAGGACGATGAGGGGGAGGAAGGTGAGGGGGGGAAGGTGAGGGGGAGGAGGGAGGGCAGGAGGCGGATCTGAGGACTTGGATGTTGTGGGCTTGGTGCTGAGGGGCGGAGGAGGGGGTTCAGGAGGAGAGAATGCTGCGTTGGATGTGCTTAGCGGGGTGCAAGAGGGAGAGATGGTAGGGGAGCAGCATGGGCACCTGGGACAGCAGATGCAGGGGAGGCAGCTGGTGCAACAGAGGCAGCAGGAGTGGCAAGAGCAGCGGCAATGGCGGCACCATCAGCAGCTGTTGCAGCAGTTTCAGAATCAATGGTGGTGGCAGCAGCAGCAGCAGCATGAGAAGCCAAAACAGCAGCAGAGACAGGAGCAGAAACAGCAGCAGAGACAGGAGCAGAAACAGCAGCAGCAGCAGCAGCAGCAGCAGCAGCAGCAAAGGCTGCCACAGCCATGCTTTGACTACACCAACCCACGGCCCAGCATGCAGACTGCTCCGTACAATCCCACCCAGCCCAACAGAGACGCCGGGACACCTACAGGCACCGGCACAGAGGCAGGGGGAGAGGCGGGTCAGCTAAGGCGCAGTCAGACGGAGGACTGGGGGGCACACGGGGCTCTTGAGTCGACTCAAAAGGAGATTGAGGACTGGAGAGCACACGGGGCGATGGTGGGTGAGGCAAGGGGGCAGTATGCCAGTGCTGGTGCTGGCAGGTTTGGAAGCAACAGCGCAGTGGCAGCAGCAGCAGCAGGCGGAGATGGAGTGGCAGAGGGAGGAAAGCTGAGGCGCAGTCACACAGAGGACTGGAGGGCGAACAGGGCGTTGGTGCGTGACGCGAGGGGGCAGCATGAGCAGCGCGTTGGACAGGCTTTTGGGCCGCCTGCTGAAGGGCCGTCTGGCCGGCCGTTTGAAGGGGCTTTTGGGCGGCATGTTGAAGGGGCTCTTGGGCGGCCTGTTGAGGGGCATTTTGTGCGGCCCTCAGATGAACGGCCGCCAGAAGCTGGGTTCGCTGCTGCTGCTGCCGGTGCTCCCGCTGATGCTCTTAGGTTTGGGTTTGGGAGCAGTGGGGGAGCAGCAGGAGGAGCAGAGGCTTCAGCAGGTGAGGGAGTCTGTGGCGGAGTGTGGTTCCCCTCTGCTGCGGAGTGTGGATCAGCGTTGTATGGCCGCAGCATGACCCTTGACAGGCAGAGTTACAGGGGCCGGGGCACAGCCATGGGCATTGGAATGGGGATGGGCACGGGTATGGGGACGGGTATGGGCATGGGTATGGGGATGGGCATGAGTATGGGTATGCAGACGGGGATGCAGATGGGCATGCCGATGGGGATGCCGGTGGGGATGCCTCAGTTGGAGCGCAGGCGGACAGTGAGCAGGGTGCATTTCAGTGAGGACGTGGATGTGGTCATGTTTGACGAGGCTGATGTGGCGTCCGCTGTGCTCCGAAGCTGACGTGGCGTTTGCCAGTCCTGCAAGGCTGACTTGGCGTCTGCCGGTGCTGTGGTCTTAGCGTCTGCAAGCTGGTGTTGCCGCTGATGGAAAACTAGTGGTGGACGTCACGCTCTTCCACACCACGACAATAAATGGCAATAGTTGTGCCTTCTTGGCGCAATGAGCCTTATGTATAGCAATGGTTGCTATACACTATGCCGTGCCCAGGGCTGACTTTATCAGACTATTTACTCTGATTAGTCTGAAATCTCAGACCGGTTTTTTGGCTAAACCTGAATTTCCAGATAAGGCATTTTCCCAATCCTGATCGATTCAGACTTAGACTTTAGGGATCCTGAAAAAATCAGAGTTCACGCTAACCCAATACTGAGTTTTCAGAGTACATCGGGTACGAACCCTGAAACAGATTTCCACGGGGCACGCAATATCCCTAGAAATTCGCATGCCATCAGTGATTCCCGCCCGCGTCACGTGGAGAATCCACACTTCCTTGCAAAATCCGCCAAGTCGAATGAATACTCTGCCCACAGTGGGCACTCTGCTACCCAGCGCGGCAAAAATGCTGCCACGCCGAGCCACTAAGGACCACAGATTCTGCTCTGTTGCTCTCTGAGCATGCGCGAACCTCGGGCCCGTGCCCTCTGTGCCAGCCTTGCAGAGGTTGGCCATCATCCCCATTGGCTGCAGTTGCAGCCAACACATCGACTAGGCAGCATGGCGCTGTGTTGTGCATGGACAAGTCCCGAAACCGCGTCACGCCTTTCAAGAAAGGTGCGACACGGGTTTGATGGACCCCTTCTTCTCCAGTTGTTCCTTACCCACCAGCTTCGAACGCACTGCTTCAGGTTTTAGAGGGGAAATCCTCCATGTTGTTCATTTCGACACAGGCGTAGTTGTAGTCACTGTCTTCATTTCCTACACGTCGTTTCTCCTCTCGCCATGCCTGAAAAGGATGGCGACGACGATGCTCCAGCTGACGGTGATGAGCCGCGCAGCAGTAAGGTTCCTGTCGTTGCGCCAAGGAGCGCCCTAGACGTCTTGCGGCCCGTTGCCGCATCGGCTCCTCTGCCTTTTGTCGCCACAACCGTTGTAAACGAGACCCCACGCGATGAGCCATCGTTGCCTAGTAGACCTGCCCCCGCTCCCTTCGTTCTCCCACCAGCCATAGCATCTTCTAGCAGAAGACCAGTGGATCCTATTGACTGCGCCACTGCCTCTACCGTTCGTTATAGTGTGCCCTGCGCATCGACTGTCTCTTCGGCGAAGAAACAACGTACGACGAAGTATACACAGCAGCGTATCAACCATGGTGGCCAGATTCGCCCTCCCTCACCACCGCGCTCACCTACCCCCGTCACCCGCCCTGATGAACCGCCGCCACCGAGGCTAAGTACAGAGGAATTGATCGAGCAGAAGTACCTAGTCGCGGAGGCTAAGTATAAGAATGATTGGCTGCGTTATTTCCCATGGCTTGTACTTACCCGTACTAAAGATGGCTACCCCGCTCTTAAGTGCAGCGTTTGCCGAGCCTTCGGTAAAGAAACGACGAAGTATTCAAGGCCAGGCGACGGCGGGCGAGATCTCCAGACACAGACGATGCGCATTCATGAACACTCGACAGTCCACGAAGCGGCAGTTCGCCGGCAGCTCGAGATTCAAAAGGAAATTGAAGACAAGCAGCAGAAGATGACAAGCTTCGCCACCGTCGATGTCGAAGGCCGCCGCGTCATCCGTCTTTTGCGGTGCGTGGAATTTCTTTGCAAGAACGACGCTCCTATCGCCATGTTTCCCCGGCTGCTTCGTTTCATGGCAGAGCAAGACACACCAGACATACCTCTCCAGTCGTACGGAGTGTATCTCACCAGGTAAGGCTACCTGGCTTTCGCCGGTTGATGGTTGGATGTTGATATGAACCTTGTAAATTTCAATGCATTTCCAATGCTAATTAACCAGTGTCTCACTTCTGATTATGCCACTGCAGGTACGGGTTCCAGCAGATGGTCAACTGTCTCTCTACGCATCTGCTGGCTACTCAGATGGAGCATATCAAGAGCTCACCTTACCTCGGCATCTCATGCGACGAAAGCACCGACCGCACGCGGGGAAAGCACTTGATCGTCTACATCACATTCATGCGGCTGCGTCGAGTCGTCACCGAATTCCTAGCCCTGCTAAACGTTGACAAGTGCGACGCCGCTTCTCTTATGGCCACTCTCTTAGCCCACCTGGAGTCGTCCGGCATCGACCTTCAACGCATCGTTGGCATCAGCACAGACGGCGCGTCGGTGATGGTCGGCCGAGACAACGGGCTTGTGGCGCGACTGCGAGACATCATCCCGCACCTTTTTTCCTCCCACTGCATCGCCCACAGGTTTGTTAAAGTATTCCTTGCTGTCTGTTTATGCTTTTTATGTTTCTGTGTGCTAACCACTACCCATGTCGGTACATGCAGAGAAGCACTTGCTGTGAAGGATGCTGCCGCTTCATGTCCAGACCTCGACATGGTCGACAAAGTCACTCGCACCCTTGCGGACCTTCTCGGCCGGTCGAGCGTATGGAGCAGTCGTTTCAAGCATCTGCAGCGGGCGATTCACAGCACCAACCTTGAGGTTCAAGGCATCCATCAAGTTCGATGGTTGTCCAGGGGAGAGGCAATCCGACGCCTGTGTAAAGTGTTGGGTGCTGCGATTGTTCTGCTGTATGAGTATGAGCATCCCCTGTATGAGGTTGTGATTTCGTATAAGTTTCAGTTTTGCCTCTTCTACCTGGCCGACATGCTGGCACTCATGAACGACCTCAACCTCAAGTTTCAGAAGCGAGAGGTAAGATGCTCATGTTTGCAAGCATGGTGTTCTCCTCTGGTGCAAGTACTCATGTCTTTCCCTCCTCTGTGTCCCCCCCCCCTCACACCGCAGGTCGATGTCACAGAGGTGGCAACGGACATCGACGCGACACTGGGGGATCTTCGGCACCGCTATGTCGACTTCGGGGAGATTTTCGGTGTCGGCGCCGAAAACATCTGGCTCTCGGCGTTCCTCACGGTGTACGGGCGCGGCGGAACGAAGCGGGTGAAGGTGCGCGGTATCGACTTGGAGGGGAACCCCGTCACCCATACGTACAAGATGCACGAGCGGCACCTCGACAAGCACCAGTACGGGAGCAGCTACAAGGACTGCGTGCAGCTGTGCCAGAAGCACGCCAAGGATACCATGACCAACGTACAAGAGCGGATGCTGGATCTGCGCAAGATGTCGCCGACGAAGCTCTGGGTGGCGGCGAAGTGGCCGAGACAACGGGCGCAGCGCGAGAAGAAGACGAGAGAGTATCTGCTTGGATGCAGCGGCATCTTCGAGCACAAGCTGCCAGGCTTCGACGTGAAGGCAGCGGAGAGGGAGCTCGCAACTTGGGCGCCGATCATGCAGAATCATCACGAGGTGGAGAGTTTCCACCAAGGCCTGGCAAACTACCTCACGAAGACGGACTCGAGCAGGCAAGTCCAACCATATTGTCGTTTCTGAATCACCACCTTCCATTCTACTTGCCAAGTGTGCACAACATCGCCGCCCTTGCCAACCGCATCTTTTTGTTATCCGCCTTCACTGTATGCATTTCCTACTGCCTTTCTTCCGCCTTTGTTTTTGTGCCCCGTGTCAGGCGCTGGCCCAATCTGATGCGCCTCTGGCAGGCCTGCGCCGTGCTGCCTTTGTCAACCGTCGAATGCGAGAGGGGCTTCTCTCGGCAGAATGTGATTAAGTCCTGGGTCCGTGGCTCACTCTGCAACGCGCGCCTCTCCGAGTTGATGGCCATCTCGCTGCTGCAGTATGACATCAATTGGACCGAAGCCCTAGCGACCTGGCGAGAGAAGCTGAGACGGCCAGCACGATCTGTTGTCTTCGCAAGAGCGGAACGAAAACGCAAGGGGAAGGCCCTAGAGGGTGAGGTGGCGGGGGACACAACGGATGAAGGACAGGGGGAGGTGCCAGAGTACGCGGGGGAGGGGTGGGCTGAGGAGGATGGGGGTGATGATGAGAATGATGCGGCTCCAACATTAGGCGACGACCCTTTCCTGTCCGACGATGAGGGGGGTGATGATGAGATTACTGTAGATGTGCCGGAGTTCTAGGAGCCTGTTAGCTAGTGATTGCTTGGTAGTAGTAGTTGTAGGCTCCTGTCCAATGTAGCAAAATGTAATACACAAGAAAGAGCTCTTCTTAATAACATAAAATGTAACCTGGAATATATTTGCGCGATCCTGAGAATTTCAGAGTTGCACATCTGTGGACTCTGACATTTCAGAGTCCCTAAATTCTGGCTGAAGGCCATTCAAACTTTTTTTTTTTTGGGGGGGGTCAGCTCAGAGTGCCTTTTTTTGAAACGTCAGCCCTGGCCGTGCCGTGCTGTGTGCTGAGGCAGCTCAACCTTGGGTAGAACTTCCACCCCTCTTTCTTCAAATGCACACTAAAGGTTGTAGCGTTAAAGCCCGAGTCTAGAATGGTAAAAAACCGTGTTTACTGACCATGAGAACAGTGCTAAAAACACTGGACTGCACGAAACCAACTTCGGCGAAGCTCCTCTGGCGAAAAAAACTTCTCAGCGAAAAAAAAGGGTCGCTCGCGACACAGAAGGAATCAACAGTGCGCAAACAGTGACGACTTTGGGGGTGGGGGGGCAAACCGTACAAAGCTTTTCCTGCGCAGCGAGTCTCGGCAAAAATGCGTCTAAAATGGTACCAGGCGTTTTCAACTTCAGTATGAGTGAACACTAAGTTCGAGGTTTGTCTCGTATAGCAAAACTTGCCAAATTATATATAATTGTGTAGGCTTCATAGGTGTGCTACAATTACTGGATCCTACTGTAGAGGGTACAACCCTCCCTTTGTTTACCTCTCTTTTTCTAGTCCCACCACCTTTCCTCTCGTAACTTTTCTCCCTAGCTAAAACCTCTCGACATTTCTCATGACTAGCTATTAGGTTCCTAAACTTCTTTCAACATGGTTTCAGAACAGGCCGATCCTGCTGAGCCTTGTCATCACGCTTCTGCAGCGTCCTCTCACCCCTCCCGTCACTTCCGCGCCGCCGTGGCGGCCACGTCGTGCTGCCACGACGGCCTTTATGTGCTGTTGTGGCAGCCTTGACGCGCTGCCGTGGCGTCGATGCCACGCCGTGGCGGCGTCGTCATGCTACCGTGGCGACGTCAACGCGCCAGCGCATGGGCGGCAGCGGGCCGCGCACCGTTGTAGGCGCCAGCCATGACGCCCGCACACCAGTCAGTGCGCCAGCCATGG